AAAACTTTTAACTGTAGTCCATAACCATGACGACCACGGCACAATACAGTGAAAGAAGAATCGGAATACGAATTGCAACAATCAGGACCAGCCAACTGATGATTGTACACTGAAGACTTGCTCCCACGAAACCTACGCACAACACTAACCTTCTCACCGGCACTCTCACGATCACTACAATCGTAGCTCTCTCTAATTTAGATTTTCTATAATAGTTCAATTTAGTTTTCATTGTCCTTTAGTACAACGAAGATTCCTGATGAGTGTTGTACGAAAACTTGTTTGAATCCTCATTTTCTCAACATCATTTCTTCACATTTTCATCAGTATCTGAGTTTATTATCATAAATGTATTATTTTAATTTCATGAGGAGCTAGGCAATAAAGCATAGAGTAGGACCCTGATCGAAAGAAATTAACTTTCTCTTTACATTCGAGGGTAATACGACACTGTCTACCATCTTGATGACCTAGGCAAAAAAGCAAAGTTGGGCGTGCATGGTCTGTTGCTACAACCATTCGTTCTATCGCGAGCATGATCACCTATCCAATAGTCTATTATATTAATAATTCATATCTTTTGCATCTTTCCCTCGAGTTGGTCTATTCTTATTAGGCAATTATCTGTTATAGTCACCACTATAAATAAAATCCAATCCAATCCAATCCAATCCATAGGGATGTTATACATTTTTCATTTCTCCTATTTTTTTTAAGACATAACCCAGGATTTGAACTCACACTATCGCCCTGCATGCATTCCCCCGATACACTTCGCATGCATACTCATTCTTCCAAGTTCTCGTTAAGATCTTGCATTTGAAAGCTCTATTTTAATATTTTGGCCACCTGTCTTTAATGGAACGGTACGGGATACCGGCAGGCATGCTGATGGCGCAAACAAACAAACAAACACGGAATTAATGCTGTGTGGACCCTGGCTAGCACCAGACGTTACTGAAGTGACGTCTTTTGCATAGCTACGGGAATAACAGACAGTGTGGGATACACGGCAAGAGTCATGAGTGTGTATGCGTGCCTGAAAAACAGGGCATTTTCACAGTGCCCAGTTCATTTTCATCATTTTCGTGCACACATCTACTCTCATGTCCATATGGACGTGGCCATGTACGCCTCCTGCATGTCTATAAAATACTTGGAATCAAAAAAAAACTTTCTTGACCACAAGGCGTGTTTGAAATTGCTTCGCATTCCATGTAAGTCTGGTGGAGAATCGCAGCTGAGTCCCCGTGACTCTTTCTTCTGGTACGTTTCCTCGATTTTTGAATTTCAATGACATCCCATATGGAACGAACTGTTGCTGTGTTGATGTGAGGCCCCTCCGAGGATGAATGGAGCAAACCTTTGAGCGAAATGGGGAATTTGGTTTTTCATAGATGTGCGGCGGATGCAGTCACTGGTCTGCTTTTGCCGCTTATCGCCCAGCAGCCCACCAGGAATCCATGGGGCAACAACATCCTAGCGGCACTCGAATACACTCTGGTCTCGCCTACGAGCGAGGATAACCGTGACAGGTGTGTACTAGACTACAACAATCTCATGGACAGCTTTGCACACAACTGTACGCCCAACATACAGTAGGGTGCTAGACTTCGTGCACGCATAACATAATCAATGGCAAGAATGTTTTGATACCAGCCCGAAAAACGTTCTAGCATTCCTATTTCCGTACTCGCGCGATTAGTGCTCCTGAGGCACTTTTCAATGTCCATCACAGATTGGGCAGTATTCAAGAGAGGGCACTGTTTTTTCATTGCTGGTACATTTGCGTCATCCAGCTTAAAACAAAGAAAAAAACAGAGGCTAAAGTGTACTGTAAACGCTCACGACTCCACAGAAACGGTAACAAGACCTGCTATTTTGTTCCTGAAAACACCAGTGCAAAGCAATGGCCAAGAACATTTATAGCAAAAGAACACCAAACTTGCACATGGGCTTGGTTACAAGACCGGGTGGGGAGCACTATTCAAGAAAGGGCTTGATTTTTCCCTGACTCTTGGAGACTAGGGCACTTTTCGAGACAGGGCTCTAATCGCGCGAGTACGGTAGTTGTGTCGTAAGTTTGAGGCGATTCGTTCCATTGGACATCAGGGATCGACTTCGTAAGCCTCCCATTGGCTCCCGCTGCTACTCAGATTCTGTCACGTTGCGCTCCGTCGAATGTAATCGAGGCATATATTCGCAGTAACAAGAACTCACCTGAACAACGATGGCAACTCGTCGGTTACAGACGCCGGTATACGAACAACTGCGAGAAGAGTAGAACTACTGAAATCAACTTGACTGAATAACTTTGGCCCGCACTTGAAACTGGTAAGCTTACACTCGCTTGCCAAACGTTTAGAAAACAGCACTCGTCTGACCAAAACAATGCCTTCACTTCCTTCCCAAACACCTTTCCACCTCCAAACGACCAAAGCATTACATTGTATTCTGTTTCTGCTGGCATCTTCTCACTAGAGAGGTTGCGCACAACGAAAATTTGTAAGATTTCGACCGTCCGGGTTCGAGTAACGAAAGTTGCTACAAAGATCCGTCCAAACGCGACCGAAACAGAGCAAATCTACGAAACTATTTTTCGTTGCATGGAGTACTAAAATACTGATATTTTACAACTCCCGGTGTTCAGTTGAAGCCCCACATCAGGGGTCAAAGGTGTGAACTTTGACCTGAAGACTGAATCTTGTCCGAATAGATGACTTGCACAAAGATTTTCTGGGTTCGAGACGGGGCAAGTGGACCTTCTGACTCTGACTTCCCCACCTTTTGAGTTCGTGACTTTCGAAGTTTAGCTTTTTGCCTGACGAACACTGAGCTAGTTTTTTTTGGCTAGAGAGTAGAGTTGTTTTGATTCGGCTTGTATCGTCATGCCGAAGCGCTGCTACGCTCCTGAATACACTAGCAGACGAGAGATGGAACTGAGGCTCCCATTCCATACGATCCTTTTCGAGCCGGCTGGCCGGGAGGCAGAAAAAATGAGGGAATATTATTTTAGTATCATTGGTGTAGGCTGCAACAAGCACGTCGTGGTCCTGAAGTGTGACTACTTTCCCGCAGTGGAAGCGAAGTCAAGCACAACGAAAGTTTGTGGACGTCTGAGAAAGAACTCGATTCCCTTCGATTCGGCTGCACTAGCTCCAGAGCGACCCCAGCCTCCTGAGGACAGACTGCGGAGAGGCCAGGAACCTGCCGAGTCAAGAGTGGAAGCCCAAACCACGAAAATGAGGGGTGGAAGGACTGAGTGTGAGAGCCAGATGGTCTTTAGTAGTACTTCAAGTAGTATCTGAGTTGAAGGAGAGAACAAGTGTGCTGGAGAAACGCTGCGAAGTCCTCAGGCCTGATGTGTACTAGCTACTGTTGAAGTCTCACTTGTTCCGATATGAACACGTCATCAGCCCTGACTCTGAGCAGCTGTATCTAGACTTGGACTTAGGCCAGAGACATAGCATTGTAAACCTTACTGAAGCCATATGTATCCAATGCCTGGCTCTAGTGAGAAAGCAGTTTGGCGCAGGTTCGCAAACTATGATTGAATCAGGGAGTGGTGGAAAGTCACATTATACCTCCCTATGATTAGCTGGTAATGACGACGATGCGGCTCCGGCTGGGTCTCAGTCTCAGAAAGGATTTGTTGGAGCATCATCAAACAGTGCATTCGCCTTCATCATACATTGGCTCCGTTGCCTACAGTAATTCACATTTTGACGGGGCGCGCTGGGATGATACGGAAGGAGCGGCGGGAACCATTGGAGTGCTCATGATGCTGGTTAGCGGAGACCGATGTGTCAGGAACGGGAACGCAACCGCACTACTGTACAGATCAGGAAGCGATGGAAGAGTTGAATCTGCTCAGCCTTCCATGCCGTGTACAGGGACACAAGCGTGAAAATGGCTACATTTCAAATGTGAACTGGCGATGGCATTGTGTGGCGACGAACACAACTGCAACTGTTCAAATTTCAGCATTTCGAACATTATGCTTCCCATGATAACTCACCGAATGGCTCACATGACGGAGTTGGACATTACCAGGCTAGGATTATCATTTGCTGTATTTATGGATAGTCCTTGAGTTTTCAGATGAAGTGCTTTATTTTTTACCTGTCGTTCCTTTAGTATGGCACAATATCCATGGCTGCTTCCTTGTCTTCATAACAGACTGGTATAATCAGCATGATTCTGCTTTTTTTAGAAGAAATAAAACTTTCCTTTCGGAAAGGAAGCCCAGAAACGTCAACCCCCATGGACTGTGCTTTATGACTCTCGTCCATCGACGTTAACCGTCGCAATAACTGCTGCATGTATGTTGTGCTGTGCGAACCGTACAAGATTTTACAGCTCACCCACGCCTTCCCAACAGGCTCCTATATCCCGTACCGTTAGCGTTACATTGAATATGAACTAGGCTAGCACAGTTATCCTTCGTTCTTTTGATGGCGGCGGGTAGCATGGAACTTGACGTGTTCTTGGGATCCTCGTGCAACACTTGCTGTTCCCGGATGCCATATTATTGGGTGCATCGAGGTTGCTTCTATGCTCACTGTTGTTTAGTAAGACAATTTTTTATAACTATTTCACCGAAGAATAAGGCAAGCGTATTTTGGGTTGGTTTGGACGCCTGGCTTCTCTTCACATAATAATACAGTCATGTACTTCCACTCAGGGAGTAGTACAATACCTGCTTCCACTAACCCTACAAGTGCACATGCATGACTCATGAGCTACTGAAGACGGTGACGGTACTAGTGATCATGTACATGTACATGCCGTGCACCGTTCATTCATGCTGACAAAAAAAGTACACTACACTACTGTCACTAGTCTACAGACGGTGTAGGGTGCCCGCAGTGTAGCCTGGGTGCACAGAGTGCACTTGCCCCGTCTCACTCGCGGCTCGGATCTTTGTGCAAGTCATCTATTGAGGAAGAACATTTTTGTTGGTTGGTTGGTTGGTTGGTTTTTATTTCACTTCGCACAGTTGCGCTTTCATGTTCACATTTTGGCTCGTTCCCACATACCTTTTCTTGTTCATCTCGACAGTTGTACTTTTGACTTCTTCTTGTAACGTTGCCATGTCTCAGATTCCTGACCCCTCTTGCCTGAAACCAACGTCTGTCGCCATGAGCCCAGTGGCATATGCCAGTCCTAGTCGTGGTGGCGTTTCACCCAGTATAAGTGTAAGAAGATCGTTCGATTTGTGTATGGACCTTGCCATACTGAGGCAACTGCGGTCGCATGAGTGCCCCTTTAGAAGAGGGAGCCCAGCTATGGACATAGTTGCTGCTGAATTATCCAACTCGGATCCAACCAAGTTTTGTGGTATCAACAAAAAGGGTGTGCGTGATCGAGTTTTGCTGCTGCTCAAGCTCTTCAACAAAGGCGATGAGTGGAAAAAACGGCAGTAAGTTTTTTTGGGTGTTCATGTATCAAGATACAAGTACATGTACAATACATGTATGTATTTGTTGCACTGAGGTATACCCCCCCCCCCCCCCACACACACACACACACCAATGCAAAAAAGTTATCTTAACGGTATTTTAAATACCTTTAGACATCAAGCAAAAGAATCCACAGAGCCGTGCAGAGAGGTCGTTTGCATATACAGGTACATATGGAACATGGTACAGAATGGTTAGGCAGGGGACTACATGTAGATGAATTTGCAGTGTTGCTTTGATGCTCATATGGAATAAGTTTATACGGCACATCGACGTCCCATCCAATCCATGGAAACACATCCTCTCATGTTAGATGTACATGTACATGTATGGGGTGAAGGACAAGGCTGAAATTTAAACCGTATAAATTGACGTTTAAAAGTTATCTTTTGGTGACTCATTCATGTTTGTCTAAATATGCTTTCTTTCACCTTTCAGATCTGGCACTGAGGAGGAGCTAACGGAGAAAGGCCAGCTTCTGGCTGAGCTCCAGGAGCTTTATGCTGAAAAAGCCCAGCCCAAGCCTGCTGGTGATGGCGAGAAACAAGCTGCCCTCCAGGCGAGAAAGGATGCGTGCGTGACGCTGGCCAGTAAGAGTAAGGAAGCAGCAGATGAGCCCGCTGCAAAGCGGAAGAAACATGGAACGTCGAGCGTTGAACTCGCTATTGCTTACCTGAAGACCTCACAGGAGGCGGATGCAGCAGTAAAAAAAGCACAGCTAGAACTGGAACAGCAGCAGCATCAAGACAAGCTGCTATTAGATAAAGCCAAGATGGACCTTGAGGAAAGGAAATTCATCGCGGATGACATACAGAGGAAGAAGAAACAAGAGATGGACGAAAAGGATCAAGCAGCCAGGCTGAAAAGAGAGGACGAGAGGGAAGAAGATGCAGCTGCTGAGCGCCGCGCACTCATAGATTTAATGAAAACATTTGCTTCCAAGTTTTCATAATTCCCCGCCACAAATCCAGCTTGTGACCTCAGGCCACATCACCGAGCCACCAAGCTGAGAATTGAGGCGTCATCGAGTCTTTGCCCTCCCCACCACCCACTCCACCCGCCTTCAACGTTCACCCTTGTACTCCGCATGCTCTCAGTACAACCACCTGCCACGACACTTTTATTCCCTCTGAGAAATAGATGCATTCCAAAGAGAAGGTACCCTGATCATAGTATTGCAGTATCCCTGCTTTACAGTTTATACATGACTAGTACATGTATTTTGCATGACTCTTATAACATTACTCTTCTTACTGCTTTCCGACACGTCCTACATCATGTACCTCACACATGACTTGATTACATCAGGAGTACCGCTCTTCTAGAAAGATCCTAGATCTTCCATGCATGCTGCTGTCATCACTTCTAGTGTCACTTCCTTTTAGTTAGTACAGTCATGCACAGTCATGTACATGTATGTCATGTTGTTCCGGACTATTCCAGACCTTCCACGTCATATGCCCGATGAGTAATGTTGCTGACTAAATTGCATAATATAGATATCTCATCTTCTAGAATGCCTCGCTTAGTCATTATGTTAATGTTACGCAATGCTCACTTCATCTACCTGTATAGCAATGATGATCTAGGTTTGCCTTCTCCACTATTCTAGAACTTGTACTAGAAGGATTATTTCGTAATCACTGCAATTTGCAATGTCATATACTTTGCTCGCCTATAAAAGCTGCTGTCTTTTCTGCCACCATGAGATTAGCTCAGATTAGATTAGAGATTAGATTAGAGAAGAGATCGGAGAGATCCGATAGATATCAGAGAGAGAACAAGATAGAGTTCTGTTCACTTAGGAATATTTGATATAAGATAACCTCCAGGCCGTGCCGGAGTAAGTTCTGATACGTTCGTTGACTGACTGTGGGTAGTTGCCTCCTTGCCTTAGACCGAGCACATTACAGGATCATCAATTTGCACATGCTCCAACCCCGCTGTAGCCCAGCCTAGGAATATTATTTTAATCAAGCTCTATCGCCTACCTGTCTTCGCAGTGGATATACTTCCTTCTTCGTCTTTACTTAAAAATGAAGCACCCAAACCACGGCTGCCACTAGCCACTGTTTCTCCCGGTTTATTGCACTCACTCTGATTGATAACACATAGTACTGTCTCTCTCTTATTGGCTATGGCCATCGTGAGAATAAAGATAATAATAAATAATAAATAATTCGCCGTCACACGCTACAGTGTACTTTAGTAATAGTATTATCTTTATTAGGATGACCCAGAGGCTTATCGCCTATCAAGGGGTTCACCGCTTTGAAGGGTGTACATGTACATGTATGAGCTAAAGTGAAAGTAGTGGAAAGTAAAAGTTGTTCAGCGTGAATGCGTAGGGGAGCACACAGGGGGGGGGGGGGGGGAGGTATGTACATGGCGTGGGCATACCGGAGAGCGAAGCACTATGTTTGAAGTTACATGCTTCGTTTAAAAAAATTATATTATTATATACACAAGAGAGAATTTGGAAGCTTTGTTACAACTCTGAGTTTCACGTATTACTACGATCATCAGGCAACTGATGGATCCAAAACAAGCAGCCAGAACATAAGGGGGAGCAAGGTGGGAAATCCTGAGGGGTGTCATAGGCGACGCGTATCATAGCGCAAGAGTCAGGTGCAGGCGTGAAGTTGCCAAGTCTTCAGATTTGGGGCTATGCAGCAGTAGTTCCGGCGTGAATGATATAGAATAGAGCAGGGGAAAAATGCCAAATCCACACATGCCCACACCACTACACAAACATACACCCACACCCTCTCCCTTTTCTCACATACACATACACTCACACGCGCGTCGTCACACACATTCTCTAAATCTCTCTCTCTCTCTCACACACACACACACACGCACACACACACACGCACACACACATTCATTCTCCATATCTCACTCACACACACACACACACACACACACACACACACACACACACACACACACACACACACACACACACACACACACACACACACACACATTCTCCAAATCTCACACACACATTCTCTAAATCTTACCTATACACACACACATTCTCCAAATCTCACACACACATTCTCTAAATCTTACCTATACACACACACATTCTCCAAATCTCACACAAACATTCTCTCTCTCTCTCTCTCTCACACACACACACACATATATACACACACACACACACACACGGCCACAATACTCATCCTTTCATTCTCACACCTACCGCACACATATTTGCACCCGCACTTATCCAATCACCCACACGCACTCTCTTTCTCACGCATGCACACAAACACACACACACACTCAAACATGCACGTGCACACTCACACACACACACACACACACACACACACACACACACACACACACACACACACACACACACACACACACACACACACACACACACACACACACACACACACACACACACACACACACACACACACACACACACACACACACACACACACACACACACACACACACACTAGGCAGCGGGACTACCAGCTAGATTCACTTGACCTTGCGGGCAAAGTTACAGAGGTAGAACTTGTTTTCATGACGACACTTGGACACAAGCTCTGACCTCTTGTTGAGGGAGCGGGTCTTGTCGGCCCAGGCTATCTCTAGCTTCTCGGCCAGACACAGGTTGCAGCGCTTCGAGATGTTAGAGTATGGTGCGGCTCTCCTCACAACGGACCACCTGATACTGTAAGGTTTGTTTTATACATGAAACTCCGAAATAAATTGTGAGAGTTCTGTTCACCGTAGATACTGCACGAGTTCAGGTGGTTGCAGTTCAAAGTACGCTGACGTCTTGTTCCCTCGGCGAATGATAGTTCTGCAATTGCAAAGCAAAGCAGCAACTTTGTAGTAAACAGCGATGGGCTGAAGTCCAAGCTTCAGCTGCTTGTAATTGTTGATCAGCGCCCAGTAGGTGCTCACTTCACCAAATGCCCACTCCACCGTTTGACGCGCGGAATTCATGGCCGTGTTGAACTCACGTTGTTGTGGAGTTACATTCCCACCAAGATACCCCTTCTGGATGAATTGGCTGAAAGGATACGCTGGATCACCGTACAGTGCATAGCACCGGCCATCGGGAAGGCGCACGTTGTTCTGAAGCTCGACCAGGAGATGGCTTTCCGCTAAGACTCCTGCATCGTGACGGCGGCCTTCTACAGGGCCAAATAGATGGGTGATTAGTCCATCCGGTGTGGTCACTGCTTGAAATTTTAATGCATGGACGCGCTTGTGCCCGTTGTAAAAGATGCGCTGATTATGCCCGGGACGGCACATGGGGCGGACTGTACCGTCAATGAATCCCCAGATGAGCATATCTACACCAGTTTTCCGTTGGATAGCGTCGCTGTAGGACCGCAATGTAGCTGGGGTGAGGCATTCGTAAGAAGACCATAGGTCTGTGGGAAACACCCTAGTAAAATAAATAAAATAATAATAATAATAATAAAAATCCTTGGTCAAAAGGGTTTTCGATCACGTGACTCCACCGGTTCCATATCCATAGCAGTGTCGTATTAAATATCCGACTTATATCTTCTTCGTACCGCCCAAACTCCTCAGCCAGATCTACCAATCGGCAAGGAAATGCCAATCGCCTCAACACAACCAGTAGACCATCCATCCCTGTCCACGTGATCCTATTGACGCCTCTCATAGTCTGAGGCATACGCAAAGCATCGCACAATTCGTGTAACTCCGCCTTGACAAATCGAAATCGGAGCATGCAAGCGTCATCTGGCAGAGATCGTATGCAAAGACGTGGAGGGAGTCTCCTCCTTTCGATGTTCAACTGGCAATCATCCTCCAACGCAAGGATAAGCAAAAGCAGCTTATCCTTACCCAGTAGACCTTTGTCGTAGGCAAAGAGCAAAACTGCCAACGTCTGATCAAACTCTTCAGCCATGCCCAACTCGTGCAGATAACGCTGTTTCCAAAGCTCGTACACACAAAAGCAGGGAGTAGTCGATTGCGATATGTTGTAGTCGGAGTAAGTTTGACTACAACAAAAAAATACGCCCTCCCCTTCGACTCGTAAGTTCGTCGGAGTGTTTGGAGATGAAGCTTTCAAGCGCTTCAACTCCTTCATATCATGAGAACACGGGGTCATGGGGTCATGTATTCTTGGTACGCGAGCAAACCAGACACGAAAAAGTTCACACGTAACGTTGTGCGCAACCTCACAGTTTACGAATATTCGTTAAAGGGGAACTCCACGAAAAATGAAAATTTGATAGCCTGTAGAGCTTCGGGCGCGCGCTGAGTCGAATGGTCTTGGTCCGAAGTCTCTACGAGAAAGCGTTCACTGCACTGCTGTTACGGGCTGGCCACTGAGTAAGATGGCCGCCATTTCGTCACGTGCACGCTGCAGCGCGGTTGGCATAACAATCGAGTATGACGTACCCACGCGTGCACGCATGCAATGCAAAAGCAAAGCAAAAATCAGAAAACGGAAATGCCTTTCGAAACCTTTTGTTTGAAAATACTACTTCAAAAAAGTATGCAGTTATCTCTTACTCTCTCACTCCTTGCGTCTTCGCTTTCGAGTAGATCGTTCTGGGAGCAGAGAAGCTAAATGCGGTAGCGTAGATGAGAGGTGCTGCCTGACTGTGACTTTCAGGCGCTCCAAGTTGTTGACGATCCCGCCGTGACGCTTTTCCAGAGAGTTGAATTCCGCATGGATGCTTTCACCTCCTTGCTCAGCAAGGAGTCCGAGACCAACGCCGAACGTATCCATTGAGGCTGGTACATGTGCCTCCAGGAGGTGTAGCTTCGGCGTAATGTGGCCAAGCTTTCGTCTCACAATTTCAGCACGAGCAGTGCCCATGAACGTCCTGACGTCGGATTTGAAGGCCGCCAAATCTTCAGGTGTCATCTTCTTGCAAGACGAGTAACGTCGCCTGCATGCAGCGAACTGCTCCATAAGAGCCATGTATCGGCTGCAAACATCAGTGGCATCCGACAGAACACTGGCAGAGGCGGTGCGTCCGTCCTCTTGTATGACTGCCAGCGGTGCTGAAGCCAATTGCTCAATGACGGTGCTCTGCAAAGCGTGGTGAACATGGTTGCCGATGAAGCTTCCTCCATGGTACCGTTGGCGACAGATGTTGTTGCGCTGCAATACCTTGTCTAGGGACTGCTCGCATGGGCCACTGATGGTGCCCGTGATCCGCTGGATCTCCTCGACAAGACTGCTAGTCTCCTCCTCCAGAGATGAC